TATTCCAGTATTGAAAGCTGTACTAAAGCGTCCAGTACAGTACAGTACCGAGAGCCGTGCTGCCAGTACAGTATATTCCAGTATCGAGAGCTGTACTGGAGAGTGCAGTATTTTTATTCCAGTATCGAAAGCTGTACTAAAGCGTGCAGTATTTTTATTCCAGTATCGAAAGCTGTACTAAAGCGTGCAGTACAGTATATTATGGCCAAAGGTACTGCAATACTGAAAATACTGGCAGTATTGTACTGTACTAAACCTGCCCGTGCAAGTATTTCTCTTCAATCGATTTCGGTCATGGCAAGCCAGCTCGACACTCTGAAATCGGTACTTTCTCTTGAACGTTTTCTCTTAAACTGTAGCCGCTACTGTGTTGCACTGCGTCCCAACCACAATAAGGTCATCTGAGATTCGAGTGATGGCAGGTGCTGGAACACTGCTGTACGCGGGATGTCATGTCCAAGGCATCATTGCTTTTTCGGTTGTTTCCCCAGCAAGTGGGGGAGGGTTGTATGCATACTCATAGTCGTGCATGCCGTAGTCGTTTGACCATTGAATTGACCTCGCATCCCTACAAAGCCGGGACGGAGCACGCCGGGTTCTCACCGGACCAGGCTCTCACATCACCGAGCGCGAAGCGCCGTGAGGTATCGGCGAGTCGCATGGAGGGTGCGCTGCATCCTGCTAAGGGTGTTTCAGTGGGGTCGGGGGGGTTGAAACGCAACCGTGCGGGGTAGCGTTCGCTCATTTTGCGAACGGTACATCACTCCAGCGGAACAAGCGCGTCGTGAGTGACACAGGCAATCGCAGCGGCAGCTAAGTTGTGGCCGCGGCTTCGTATTTCAACGGCAGCAGACCAACGTACCGCGAAGTCGAGGAAGTCAGGATGAAACACCATCTCCTGCGAGGAGACCACAACCGAAAAAGGCGCGGTATTTGCTACCATATAGGCTACGCTGTCCTCCGCAGCGTGCCGAGACTCCCGGGCGTTCCTCCAACGACGAGATTCCGTGTCGTCGGTATCCGTGGCAAGCATCCCTTTGAAGACAAGACACATTCAATCGCAGAAAGACACCATGTTCTGCTCGCACGAGACGATACCCCAAATCGAAGCGTTGTGTGTGCGGTGAAGCCCTTGGGCTGAAAATATCAACTTTTGACAATTTTACCAAATGACGCCGCCTGCGCTGTTTACGTTTGCCGCTGTCCGTGTGCCAGTCCGCGCGGGATAGGGTGGACTTGGAAGAGTTCAAAGCGCGCTTGACAGAAGGGTTCAACCTCATCAAGCATAGCAGATCGGGAAAAGCGAGGTGAGTTGGAGGCATGGTCCGTCGGGTACCGAGATCTCATGGCGGTCTCTGCGGCATCAGAAAAGAGGAACACTGATCGGGTAGATACAGACATTCCTTCTACCGGCCACTTGATGCTTCCAGCGAAGCTCGGCTTGGGTATCTGTCGGCTATTTGGCAATGCGAGATCTAGATTCGGCTATAACAGGCACGGTGCGGTTGCCGCTGGGAGGCGAGGCGGCCGTCATCATGTGCCATGTATGGCGGGGTCATCAAACCGGAACTACTTGTACAAATCCAGGTTTTGCTCCCAAACCAGGAGTTGGTCTGGTGGTGTATCCTAGAACCTTCGGTTGTAGATTGATGACACGACTGCTGTCTCCGGTTGTGTTGTAGCTGAACTCCGGCAAGCTGCCTTCTCGGCCGGAATATCGGACTTACTTTCTCAAATAATGTACCGCATAACTACTGCTGTGCTTCATGTTGAACTATTTTATCTATGGATGAAGCCGGTTTTGTTTTGCTTCTGTATTCTGTGTGGGGAAAATGAAAACTATAAACATCTCCATCCTTGGGTTGGACAAACCACGGACAAAGTTTAGTCTACTCGATCAAGGGCAAGAGGGTTTTGCTGCGTCGCAGTCGCCGCAACGCCACTCGCTTGCCCGAATGCGGTGCGTGCACACTACACACACCGGGCTCCATAGCCAACCCGCAAGAATCAAGAATGCCCTCTTCCTTTTCCTGTGTGCTAACGAACGGCAGCATGACCAGCAGCAGCAGCCACAAACAACGCAACAATATCAACCTCAGCTTGTGCCGCTTACGAGTCTTGCGTTTTTCAGAAAATATACGTACCACAGAAAGACTGCGCCACTTTTTTTTGGCACTCTCATAAATGGTGACCTGGTGGCCGCGCGCGGCTGAGAGGAAACCCTGTCATTTCCCAGTTGGTCTCGGGCGGTTGGTTGTTCGTGCTCGCACCACAAGCCCGCGACAGGCCGATATTGGGATCATGGTCGGGCAAACAAATCGTTGTTTCTCCGCCCCTTCAAAGTTGACATCTGCATCTGGTTTTTGGACATGCGGTTAGGCCGGAACACGCTTTTGCTCCGAAAGTTATTTGGAAATGTGTTATCGGACTAACTCCTAGTCTGGGTATCGACTAACGCTTAGTCTGGGAGCGAAATCTAGATATGAAATCGCGGTATAAGACCCGGCCTTAATAGTTAGTTAAAACAGCGCAGTAAATAACCCCCCCACTTCCCCCGCCCAATGTACTACGGCTCGTTGTCGGCCTCTGTGTGGGTGTAGCTGTTATGTTCATATCAACACAGCACAAGTTCAACCTCTTGTTTCGAATCCATCGCGTACGAGGTTATGGAAGTGTTCAATGACTGCAGCTGCGGTAGCTTCATTGTGTTGAATAGGGTTGCCGTCCCTCTCTCTCTGAAGCATCCCACCCCCATGTAGATCGTGCTGTTTGGTGATGCGTGTGCCACTTCGACCCTACCCCGAAGTCGCTCCGCCATGTCCGTTTTGTTGTAGATAGTTGTTGTTGTCTTCACATCAAGTACCGTTCCGGTCTCCGCTCAGTCCCTTCTAATGTCCGTACTGGTCGAACTGACGCGGACGCCTTCCGTGGTCACAAGCCAACTGCCCCACCAAAGGAATGTCCGTACAACGCGTCAATTTGATGCATCCCGTGGTTAAAGTCGCTCTTGTTCTGCTCCTAACCGTCTGTGTGCGGCTTCTTTGCGTCGCTGTCTTCTTTTTGCAGCAATCGTGTCATTTACACCGTGGATAATGGAGTCCACTTCCGCATGGCGAAGGGCAAGAAGGGGTCGCTCTCCAAGCTGTCTCTCGGCACTCAGGAGTTTTCCTTGTTATCGTTGGCACAGGTGTGAATGTCGAGCGCTAGCTCAAGCGGTTTCCTGTCTTTCAAGTGCAACTGCTGTCGTGTTGGTTTTGAGTTTATTTCATCTTGTTGTGATGTGCACATGTGTTTTTGTTGTTGCTGCTGCTTACATTTTTTGGCATGAAACAGCATTCTCGCTTCTTTGCGACCCGGTTGCTGCCCCTTTCCAAATCCAAAGCATCAAAGCATGTGCAAGAACACTACACCAACCGAGTCCCCGACGCTACATACCGTAGGTGACATGGCGCAGGACACCACACCCCCTGCAGCTGTTTTCTAGCTCGATATCTCCTCAGCAGGATGACTGGCAGCGCCGAAAACGGCGGCGTTGAAGCCGCCTCGGCGAGAGCTTTCCGAGATCATATCGTTTGGTGTTTGAATCCTCGTCATCGTGCAGTACATGGTCCAGCTGTGCAAAGGGGTCCAGGGGGTTTGGTATCTTGTGTCATGTCACCTACGGTACTACTCACTTTGTGTGCATAGGTACACGTGAGTATGCAGCCCGCCTCTTCGTTCGCCTGTTGTTGATCGTTCCAACATAGCAGCCTGCGAGCAATGTCCCCCCATCAATATGTGCAAGCCTTTTTGCTTGTTCTGCCAAAGTGTGTCAAATATGCTCTCCTGTGTTTTTGGTTGGAAGGTGCGCATGGGCACAGACAAGGACCCAGAGCACGAGGACAAGACCGGGTCGAATCCGCTGCGCCAGGGATGCCCTACGGAGGAGGACCTCCGAAAGGGCTTCAGCCTTGTATACCTCTCCAGGACGGTGAGCCAGGCCTCAGGAAAATGAATGGATGAGGAGTCGTGTAGAGACGAGACCGTGGGGATAACGTGGAGATAAGGAAGACCACAGGAAGAGGGATCATGTAGAGATAACAAAGATCAAAGGGAAATGGAAAGGGGGTAGCGTGAAGACAAGACCACTGGAAACAAGAAATACTCCAGTGAAATGGAAAAGAGCAGGGGTGATGTGTAGACAAGAAAGACCACAGGGACAGGGGTGGATATTGTGGGGACAAGACGACAAGACAAGTTGCACATGAGCGTTCTCGTGTCGAGTGAGGAATGCACGGCAATGAAATACCTATCCCACTGACGCTTGGTCGCTTTGTTCGGGCGTGGGGTGTGCATCCATGAGTGAGCCGTTGATGCAAGGATTTGCCTCACAGGTGCTTTTTATTGTCTCAACAGGCGACTCTCTGGAAGCGTTGTTGCATGGCGGGGAAGGCTAAGTCTGGCCATTGTGTTCCTTGTTTTTTCTGTGCTCGTTTTTCTGTGAACGGTTGGGAAGGTCCTTCGAACAGGGACAGGAACGAGTCTTGCTCACCTCTCAGGCCGCCCCATGTCTTGTATCTACTGTACGTTGGGAGAATACCTCTTGATCTTGATCTTGATCTTGATCTGATTGCCACTGTATCGTTGAAACTTTATCTTTGCATCGAACGAAGTGGGAGCTCCCCCCGGCCAAGACCACGTGCCTTGGCTACACTTTCCCTCGGTGCAGCCTGCCCTGGCGCCATGTAGTGTCGCTTGCTCATGATTCGCTCGTCACAGATCCCCTTCAGATTGAGTCTCCTTGAGCCTTGCTGATAAGCAATGCGAGTGACGACTGTCTGGCTTGCAACCAAGGACACGTTGGAGGGTTCAACTCCCGACAACAGGGCGTGGCATCTATTCTTTTTTTCCTTGCGTGAGAGAACAAGAGGACTTTGGGGGGGAAAGTATTGATCGTGTAACGCCCGCGCAAACGTGAGAAAGCACACAAGCTCTCTCAGACTTGAACGTTCTTCAACACGTGCGTGGCGCGTGCGCGTTGGTCAAANCCGCTCGCCCGCCATTATTCGTCCATCGACCCAGCTTGATTTCTCGTGCGAGTCGGAAGACGAAATGCACTACATCGTCAACGGCTTCCGGGCAATGGTGGCGGAGACGTTGGCCGCGGGGGCGGGCTCGTCGGCGTTCGGCAGCCAATCGTGGGTCAGAAAAGAGAGTCGCTGAGGCACCAGGGGGGGGAAGGGGGGCGGGCATTGTGTGCAAGTGTGCAGCTGGACGGCAGGGGGGGGGGAGGGGGGGAGGCGAAGCATACCCTTATGGGGGGTAAGGGATGACTCCTGGTGGTATCCCAACTGCTTAGCGTGCGGAGCGTGTGAGTGAGTGAACGGGTGAGTTTTGGAAACTGTTGAGGCTGACTTGGCTTTTCGTCAGAGGAAGGCTGCCGGCCGTGCCAATATTTTTGGGTCGACGACCACCGCCGTTCCAACAGATCACGGTGCAGAACATAGATGCCAACGCGACGTGTTCCCTGTGTTGCCCCGCATTTTTTGGTCGCGTTCCTATCGGCTGAAGGCTTGTGGCTCTCACTCACCCTCTCTCTTATCCTGGCAGTTTATTTTCCGCCCTGGGGGATAGAGTGGGAGTAGACGTCCTTCCCTCTTCAAGTTTATCGCGGTGGTGAAAGACATCATGTCGAAGGAGGGGAGGGAGAGAGTCGACGTCGATCGCTTCTGTTTGCCCTCGCCTATTAGGGCGGTTTGGCGGCGGCAGCGGTGATTTAGAGGGCGGGTAGAGGCAGGCACTACTACCTGCGTGTGAGGGGTGGTGGGTTGAGTTGGAAGTCTCGTGGCGATATTTGTAGGGCAGGGGGGGGGGG